TACCAAATCAATGGTAATATAGCAACATTTAAAGGAGGAGGAAAAGAACATCTAAGACCTTTTGAGTAGGTAGATTCGCTCCTAGTTGCTCGCTTGCTCACAACAACAAAAACATTTTTATACACCAACACATTTCTTTGAACTATTTTCAAAACCAACACTTTGTACGCATTCTTATAGAGACGAGAGTCATTACAAAGTCACATTTTCAAAATACTTTCAAAACCTACATCACAAAGCATATTTCAAAACAAGAGCAAGTGATCTAGCAAGTAACTAAGAGCCCATGGAAAACCATGGATGAAAAGGGTGCTAATACCTTCCATTTTCATAATCCACCCCCCCGAACTCAAGAAAACATCTTTAAAGGTCTTTCCTGTGCTTTTTCACCTTTCCTTATTGGATAAAATAAAAGTCGGTGGCAACTCTTTCTATCCGCAACATTTGGATCAAATGCAAAACAAAAAGTCAGTTCTCCCACCGTATCACACATGCTAATTCAATTCCCCAAGGTCCTGAGGATCAATTGAGCTTGAGGAGCGGTGGATTTAGTTTTTAGCCTTTTTAGGTTTTCGGATGTGAGTAAATTTGATGAGATAAAGTCAAAATTTAGGGAAGAAAGTCGTGGAAATAAACTCAGAAGGACAAGACAATGAAAATGAGTGAAGAAATGTAAGGAAAGGTGAGGCTCTGCCGCCTCTGGTGTGGCGTAGCGATGTCCGATGAAGAATGATCCAGACGGATAAGAGAGAAAAGAAAATGTCTATTGAGAAGATGAAGCGACACCCCCAATCAAAACATAATCTTCAATCATCATTGTTCCACCACTTCATTTTTTTATATTTTTTGATTATTTTTTTAAAATTAAATAAAGTTAAATTGGATAAGTGGACTGAATCTGCATTGGGCTTGGAATTCAACTGCTAAGTGCATACCTCCCTTGGGCCCATACCGCCACTGATTTTTTGGAGCCTGATTGCTTGGACAAAAAATTCCATTGGACTCTTTACTAAATGGGCTTTCAGCGCCTGCTTCTGCATACTCCCTAATTCAGTTTACACTCCCTTTGTATAGAATTGCATTGGTTTTCTGTTAATTTTTATTTTCATAATTTTGATGGAAAATTAATGATAAAACTTATGAGATTTATAAAATTTGTTAGATCTCCTTAGTTTATTTTAGAAATTAATTCTCTAGTTTTTGATAGAATTTTTTCTCACATAAAAAACAAATTAAAAAAAAATACTTTTTCTTCTAGTTTTTGTTCATATTTTACACCATTTTGCCTTGTTATGTTTGACCAATTATTCATTGTGCAAGGTACGTTTTGGTGCTTTTGATCATGTAACATAACAAGTTGTTATTTGATTGAAGCATATTGCTTATGCTTGCTTCTGATGTGACATGCCTCATTTCTCATCGTTATGAGAAATTCATATCATATTATATGTTGTCCGGATGCATGTGATATTTTGTGATACTTTGTGCAGGAACTTATGATTACGTGTTACATTCGCAACATGCATATGCTTTTATCTGAGTTGGATATTTTATTTGACTTTTTTGTTTCTTATTGAAGCTTGCTCGACGTGTACTCCTTGCTTCTCCATTGCTCTCGTCCGCTTCCGATGATCTGCTTGCTTTTGGTAGTCGTCGCTACTGCTTTTACATTTTTCCGCACTTTATCACATTTCTTTATTGCTTTCCTTGCCATGAGAAGTAGGATATAGATGTATGACGGGGGTCTCCGTTGTAGATCATGTTAGGAACCCTTATGGTTTGTTTAAATACCCATTTAGGGCAATTCCGCATTATTTGCCATTGTGTGCTACTTGTGTGTGGTTTGTTTAAAACCCTACCTTTGTGTAGGTATTCTGCAGGCGTGTTTACATTTGTGCTAAAGACCTCTAAAGGAGGCTCCTTATTATTCCCTAGTCGACAAGTCATATAAATAGGCAAGCATAAAGGGTTCTCAATCAACCCCCGCAATTTCATTTGTGTCATCCTTAGCTCGTGACGAACCATGACGCTTCAGAATTATGCAGATCTTGTGTATCGAGTCGTTAGGTGGAAAAGGGTTTTGCGACCAATCCCCCACGCTTTGTTAGGAGTTTTCATTGGCTAATGAAGACACTCCATGATTATTCATATTTCCTTCTGTCTCCTACCTCAATCTTTTATATCTTAGTTAGGTGTTCAGTCACTTTGGACATCATGTTTTTGTTTTACATTCTATTCCCGCTTGTTTGCTTCGGGTGATCTTCTCCCCTTAGCTAAAGCATCGCTCTTCTTTTATATGTCACTCCCGCTTGTTTTCCTCAGGTGATCCTCTCCCCTTGACTAAAGCATTTCAGTTTTTTTTTCTTTACCATTTTATGTGTGTGCTCTTTCGAGTTTGCTTACTCACTCGCTTTCTATACCATGTTCCCTTAGGATGTGCTTGTTCCTTTCGGGTGAAAGTTAGACCTTAGGTTGCAAACCATGCATGCTAACATTAGATAGACGTTTACCTTTTATTAATCCAAACCTTAGGACCACCATTATATGATAACATTAAAATTAGAAAATAGGATAGTCTTTCGTAGACTCTTTTCTTCCCCTTTTTTTTGCATTTGCATTTAAAAATAAAACTTTGTTTTTCTTGGAAAACCATAAAACATCTTAATCATACTTAAATCCCTTTTCAAGGTAACAAAACATAAACCAATCAAACGTGGAATCTTGACTTGAGGGCGTAACTCAAAACCATTTTCACAAGGGTTCGTCACCCATGAAAAACACAAAACAAATAGAAACATGTGAGCCGAACTATGACGCTCTGATTCCTCAAAAGAGATACGTAGGCAACAGGTCACGGGGCCTAACCGTACAAAATTCGTAAATACTTCCTTATTTTCCCCGCATTTATTTTGAATGTAATCTTCCTCAGCATTAAGCAATAGACATAGATTAGACACACCCATAAGATAGATAACAAGAGTGGATATTATAGAGTACTACTAACGTGTGTGGTGCTAATACCTTCCTCTCACATAACAGACTCCCTTACCCGATCTCTTGGTCACAAGACTGTGAATTCTCCCTTCTCAGGTTTTCTCTATGTTGTTTTTTCCCTTCACGTGGGATAAAAGACGTTCGATGGCGACCTTATTGTTTGATGATTTTCAACCGGTTGTTCCAACTGGATCTTGATTTCCCTAGATGTCTTCGCCATCCCCAAAAGTGAATATTAGCTCGACATACCCCTATGGCTTTGTGACGGAGCAATTGAACCCCTGGAGGTCTGACCCTACATACAACATTAGATGTGTTTCATTCAACTGTAGTATGGTGAACAACTGAGTGTACATGATGTTGACCGAGCTTCCTTGATCGACCAGGAAATAACGAACATCAAAGTTTTCCATGCGAGCTCGCACGAGTAGAGGGATGCTTGAGTTAGGTGTCCCGCCTGGTAGTTCCTCTCGATAGAAAGCAAGGGGATGAGAGGTGCCCCTAACTTTATCGAGGCTTTCATTCTTCTCTATGCTGGTCTCTATCAACTGATCGAATCTCCTCTTCATAGAGCCTATTATGCACTTGTTGAATCCCCCCCCCCCCATAGATGACCATTGCTGCTGGAAATGTCTCCCACAGGTTGTGTGTCATAAGTATAGGGGGACTTCCTCTATGTCGGGTGTAATACCCCAAATTTTTCCTACCCTTTCATCAAATCACATGGCGTATGCATCTCACTCTCACCATTGTATATACCCTCCATTAGGTCATTTTACACAACATGCGTCATTAATCAATAATTTGGCATGGGATCAGAGACCTTGAAGAATTAGGGTTTCACAATTGGTTTGAAGTGTGTACATCAAATAAGGTTAATTCTTCTGGGTTTTTTTTCTGTGTGTTGGTATGGAGTTAGAGTTTTTGGGGTTGCAAGGTTTTCTTCATCAATGAGCTTCAAGATCAAAGAATTAGGGTTTCCAACCTCTTGGGCCCAATCTTGATGATGTTTTAACTGAAGATCCTATGAATTAAGGGTTTGGCTTAATGGCTATCTTGAGCATCATTTTCTAGGAACTCCAAGCATGACTTTCATATAAATATTTCTCCTAATCAAGTGCTTTACAAGTCAAGGCTAAATGGATTTCTCTTCAAAAATTCAAGAGGTTTGAACTTAGGCATGAAGATTGGTTTGAGGCTTGTAAATCAAGGTTTTACGTTTGTGTTTGACAACGAATTAAGGGTGTTATTGCATTGAGTTCTCATCAGGTCAAGAGGTATCCTATTGTTTGAGCTTAAGGTTTCAATATCTATCATTCATCAACTAGGATATCTTTTTCAATCATCTGTTACTTCAAATGAAAGTTATTGTGAATATGGAAGTCAAGTTTCCCGTTAGATACAAGCATGGAATCCAAGTGGGTTTTGATTTAATTTCTTATGGAATCATTATATGGTATACTAATGTTGACTCAAAGCATCACATGAGCAATATTCTTGTCTTCGATCAAAGTCAACATTGGAAAGTTAAATTTTGACCAAAGATGAACCTAATATTCATCTAATACGTTAGGGGTTCAACATTGCCCAAGCTAATTAGATGGAATGATTCAAAGCTTAAGAGAACATGGATTCTTTATAAAATCAATAGGTTAAGCATCACCCAAGGACATTGAAAGAAGCATTCAAAGATATCATGGAAAAATAAATAAATGAAAAAAGGAAGCCATTTGAATAAGACAACATTCTTCTGCATGATTCAATGGAATTTGCAAGGTTCATATGGATTATTCATGGAGTTTTAGAATTTTAGAAATAAAAAAGGTGAACTTCATTCAAATATCATTCGAAGTTACACCAAGAAAGTCACAAACTAGCATGTTATTACATTCGGAACGTTTACAAAAGGAGAATAATTACAAAGCATGCTCCTAAAATTCCTAAAGTGCTAACTTTCTAAGTCTCGTGAACGCCCAATCTTCACGCCTTGCCAAAATAGTCCAGTGTCATGACCTCTTGCACTCGGAAACTAGCCTCAAAGTCGGGCCAAACCATGATGTTACGCCTTCAAAACCTGTACCAAAACAATAAGCCAAAACCAGATCAATTAACAAGACAGTTATCCAATTTAAATTAGTTCACAAACAAAAAATAATAAAGCATGTTCAAGTTACAACCCTACATAAGGTGTTTCTACAGCAGAAAATTATGGAAAAATAGCCAAACAACCATGAGCAGTCAACTCTCGTGCCATACCAACTGCGCTTGCAAAATTAATTCTGTACCAACAAAATAATCCAATATTTAGAATCAAAACAAGGCCAGTTTCCTAACAGAATTCTGGCAATAGCTCGATAATAGAAAAAACAGAATTGTTCAAACTAACTCACCAACTTCCTAAATGTTTTCTAACCAACTTTCTAAGAGATAATAGAAAAGAGAGGAAGGAGTACACAATTCATTCACCAAAAAAACTCACCGAAAAAAATTTGTAGCAAACTCCTCTTGAGATTCTTCAATCTCTCGGCACAAGCTTCATATGGATTTTCTCTGCAACAAAGAACTTTATTCTCTGCAAGATCTTCATCACCATTCTCTGAATCAAAAAAACATAGAACCTTCATCAATATCTATCTTCCACCAATTTCTCTGCAATCTCTTAATTCTTCTTTCACCTCTTTGCAATCTTCATCTTCAACCTTCAACTCTTCACAATCTTCATCATTCATCACATAATCTCCTTCATCTTTATTGCACTTCGTTGTTCTTCCAAAAAACCTTCACATCTTCATCATCAATTCTCGGCAACTCTGCACCTGCACTTCATAATCACCTTCAATCTCGTGCTCTCTCTGAAAACCGTGCAACAACACCTCTTCATCACTTTCATTTCGCCTCAAGCGCTTCAGCCTTCACTACAACAACCACAACAACTTCTCAGCATTCAGAAATCACAAAAAAAGGAAAATTGAGTAGAACAAGAAAGAAGAATAAAAGCAAAATCAATTTTTACCTATAACTTGCGTAGGAACCTCCTCTCTAGTTTTCTTGTTTGACATCTTCGAAATCGTTGCAGGTAAGATCTCTTTCACTTCTGCAAATTCTATCGCTTTGAGTTTGCATTTGAAATCGAGGATTCTTCTGCCCTGTGTGTATCCGTAGTTATTTTTCATGGTTGCATTCGAATCGATCGTACAAAATGGCGTTGAACGAATAAGGATTTATGAATCAAAAGGAAAATGAAGAGTTGGCGGAATGAAGATTTGAGATTGAGAAGATGAAGCCATCATGAGGGAACCAATGATGAACAACATGAGAAAATATGGAGAATACAGAGGGTGTGAGGCCACGACGGTGAAATGGTTAACGATGGAGCAAGTTGAGAGTCATGTTATTGAGTGGGCGAGAGGATGAGGGAATTTTGTTCGATGAGGATGAAGGGACACAAACTTTTGAACCCTAATTTTCTCTGCTAAAACGCATAATTTCATCCAAACCTCTTTTTCATTTCTTTTAATTTTTCTTTTCTTGTTTAATAATACAATGATGCTGAGGAATAAAACAAAACAGATAAGAATCTGAATTGTGTTTTGGGCCCCTTGCTGCGAGTTTCCTTGTAGTCCAAATGCTACATTTTTTTGAACTAAAGCCTAGCTAAACCAAAAAAGGGTCCTCTTGGGCTCAAACTAGATGAGCCTTGCGCCCAAGTCTCATTATTGGTCATACACCTGCTTCCAGTCCATATACCCCATTCTGTTTAGAGTTTGTTTAGATTTTTCTCTAATCTTCTTTTCTTAATTTTTTAGAAAATGATATTAGGAAGAAAAATTAATGATAAAAAGTATAAAACTTGTTAGATCTTCTTAGGTGATTTTAGGAACTAATTTATAGTTTTTGATAGATCTTTTATATAATAAAATCAATAAAAATGGTAGAATAATAGAATTTTTTTAGAAATTCTTTAGTTCTATAGAATTTTACACACATAAAAAAACTAATAAAAATACTTTTCTTTTAGTTTTTATTCATATTTCCATACTGTTGTGCCTCGTTATTTTTAACGCGTTTGTTCATTGTGCAAGGTACATTTTTGGTGCTCTCAATCATGTAACATAATAAGTTATTATGTGATCGAAACGCGCGGCTTATGCTCTCTTACGATGTGACACATTATATTTCTCATCGTCTTGAGAAATTCATATCATATTATATGTTGTCCCGATGCATGTGATATTATGTGATGCTTTGTGCAGGAACTTCTAATTATGTGTTGCATTCGCAACATGCATTTGCTTTTATCTTAGTCGGATATTGTTTCTGACTTTGTTTATTTCTTGGTGAAGCTTGCTCGACGCGTACTCCCTGCTTCTCCACTGCTTTCGTCTGCTTTCGACTAATTGATTGTTTTTGGTAATCGCCACTACTGCCTTTATATTTTCCACACTTTACTATATTTCTTTACCACTTTTCTAAAGATCATGAGAAGTAGGGCTTTACTCATTTTCGATGCCATGAAAAGTAGAATAGAGATGTATGATGGAGATCTCTGTTGTTGATCATGTCGGGAGCCTTTTTAGTTTATATAAAGACCTGTTTAGGGCAATTCCACATTATGTGCATTCTATATGCTATCCGTGTTTATTTAAAACCCTACCTTTGAAGCAGGTATTCTGCACATGTGTTTACATTTGTGCCCGCATATACTACATATGATAATTCCTTAAAAGGAGGCGATCAGAAAGAGTTCACAGTCAACCCCTGCAAATTCGTCTGTGTCATTCTTAGCTCGTGACGCACCATGATGCTTCAGAGTTGTGCTACTCTTGTTATCAAGTCGTCAAGTGGAAAAGGGTTTCACAATCAAACCCCCACACTTTTTCAGGAATTCGCATTGGCTGATGCTGACACTCCGTGATTGTTCATATTGCCTTATGTCGCCTACCTCGATCTTTTATATCATGGTTAGGTGTTCAGTCACTTTGGACATCACATTTTTGTTTTACATCATATTCCCGCTTGTTTGCTTCGTGTTATCCACTCCCCTTAGCTAAATCATTTCTCTTCTTTTATCTTTCACTCCCGCTTGTTTGTCTTGGGTGATACGCTCCCCTTGACTAAAGCATTTCGCTTCTTTTCTTTATAATTTCATGTGTGCGCTCTTTCGAGCTTGTTTATTCATTTGCCTTCTACATATCGTGTTCCCTTAGGATGTGCTTATTCCTTTCGGATGCAAGTTAGACCTTAGGTTGCAATCCATGCATGATAACATTAGGTAGACATTTCCCTTATGTTAATCCAAACATTAGGACTACCATTGTATGCTAAAATTAGGATTAGAAATAGGCTAGTCTCCCGCATACTCTTTTCTTCCCCTTTTGCATATGCATTTAAAACTAAAACTTTCTTTTTCTTAGCAAATCATAAAACACTCTCTAACAACAAAATCCCTTTTCAATATAACAAAACACAAACTAATCAAATACGGCATCTTGCCTTGATGGCGTAACTCAAAACCATTTTCAGGTAAGGACATGTTAATTTACTTTTGTGCCAACGCGTGAGTCTCCAAAGATCGAGTTGCGGTAGAAGGTGGAATTAACATTGTTCATAAAGAATACAAAACAAACAGAAACATGTGAGTTGAACTACGGTAACTTTGATTCCTCAAAAAGGATACATATGCATTGGGGTAGGGCTCAAGCGAGCACAACTTTATTTTCCCTACATTATTTTCTCTTTCTTTTGCATGTATTCTTCCTCCGTAATAAACAGTAAGCATATATTAAACACACCAATGAGATAGACAACAAGAGTGCATATCGTAGGGTACTACGGGCGTGTGGGGTGCTAATACCTTCCCCTCTCGTAACAGACTTCCTTACCCGATCTCTCAGTCGTGAGACCATAACTTCTCCCTTTTCAGGTTTTCTCGATGTTTACCTTTCCCTTCATGTGGGATAAAAGACCATTGCCGCTAGAAATGTCTCCCACGGGTTGTGTGTCATGAAGTATAGGGGGGCTTCCTCCATGTCGGGGAAGTAAAAGTCCTTTAGCCTCGTGATGCTCATGGCGATCGGCATGAGCGGTTGGTTAGGGGAATATTTCTCCTCCTCGACTTTGCTGGATTTAGGAACATCTTCCTAAGGACTCTCCTTCTTCTTGTATTATTTTAGGTTCCCTTCTCGGATGAGACTTTCGATGGAATCCTTTAGATGAATGTAATCCTCAATCATATGTTTGTGGCTTCTATAGAATCTACAATACTTTATTTTATCCATCCCTAGCTTAGATGGTGTCTGACGGGGAAAGCGTAACCTAACCTGTTTGAATTTGGCGTTTGCGCAGTTGCTGAGGATTTGTTCGTGTGACGCATTGAGCGGTGTATAATCATGGAAGCGCCTAGAGGTCCCTTTGTAATCTCTTGAGTCACGGGGATTGTGATCCCGTTTCTTCTGTCCTCCCCTAACGACATGTTAAGGGATCCTCATTCTTTGAGACTTTGACATTTTCTCGGTGTCGCGAGTGTCTAGCATTGTTCTTAGCTTCCTTCTCCTCGTATTGGATGTAATCTTGCGCCTTTAGCAAGAATTCATCCAGGGTTTCCAGAGCCTCGATTCCCACGGCCTTGGCAAAATCGTTGTGTGGCCATAAGCCTATTTCTAGAAGGTACTTCTTCATCTCGTTTGTTATCGAGACCTGGGCGGCTTATTTATTGAATCTCTTGATGTAAGCTCAAAGATATTTTTCTTTGCCTTGGATAATGGCTTCCAAGGATGCTTCTGATTTTGGATGTTGACGGGATGCTGTGAAATGTCGGGAGAACTATCTCCTCATATGTTTCCATGATGTTATTAACTCGTCAGGAAGAATTTTATACCACGCCATGGCCCCCTTGCGGAGCATCATGGGTAACACTCGACATTTTATGGCTCCGCTGACTCCACAGTAATCGAGCAGATCATCGATGTTCTCGATGTGCTCGTCAGGATTTGTTGTACCTTCATAGACTCCTAGGCACGAAGGTTTCTCCAAACCGACCGATAGAAGGAACTCCATAATCTCCTTGGATAACAGGCCACGGGGCTCGTAGCCATTGCTTCTGTCTGGAGAAGAGGGCGAAGAACGGTTGTTGCTCCCTTGTCGGGGAGAGATGCTTCGATGCTTCTTTGGCCTGGGTGACGATGATCGGTCGCGGTCTGGTCATAACTCATTTCTTATTTTCTTAGAGACATGGAACCTCTGGTCTCTCCGGGGTGGCATGTGACTTCTCTTTCTGGGGCGAGGAATATTTTGTTTCTCTCTGGCGGGGAGTCTTCCTCTCTTGGGTTGTGAAGGGATATGGTAGTTGCGATGCCCGGTTCTCCGATATGGAGACTTTGATCGAGTTTTATTCAAGGCCCCGATCCTCTAGTTTTGATGCATGATGAGGTTTGTTGTCTGATTGAGGGCTGTGAGGAGTGTCGCCATGGCCAGATCAGTGTTGGCTGGTATGGGAATAGGCTGGTGGATTGTGGGAATCTCCTCTGAAGGTTTCTTGGATTTATCATTGTCCAAGAAACGAGCATCTTCATGGTTGGCCTTGACCGAATTTGGGGAAGCGATTATGTTGTCTCTGATATCGTGACCATCCTCACTGGGAAGAGGTATCTTGTTCCTATCCGTCTTACGGACATGGGAGATGATGGTTTTTCTAGACAAATGGAGATCATCGTTGTCGTCCATGATTCGAAGGTTTGAATGTATCTTTTATCTTCAATTTTAAGAAGGAAGACGGGGAAGATTGTTTCCCACAGATGACACCACTGATTTGAACTACTGATCAGAATCTGAGTTGGGCTAAGAGGACGATGATCCACTGGGCTGATATTGCTGAGGAATGAGGGGGTGTACCTGCAAGGCACTCTGATGTTAAAGTAAGAATGGGCACAGAGAGGTACAAGAAAGTATTAGGATTTTAGAGAGTGAATATTGAATACAGGCCCTCACAAGTGTGAGGATTTATATAATGCCCCCGGTGCGTAGCCATTGGTTCCTATCTTTGGGCCTAGAATCCAGGTATGCAAATATAGGGAACTCCCAGGACTTGGTCAAAACGGGCAAACATGCTCGTAACTAGTCGTTTGTTCTGAGGACAAGGTGGTTTACGGGTAGAGAGGCGTTCTGGACAGTTCTT